TTGACGACGGTGCGCACGCTGCTGAGCCGAAGCCATAATGCAATACTTACAGCGTCTATGCGGGGGCCAATGTCCCGACCGGATATGCTGGGCCCAATCAATGGAGTCAACCTTACAAGCCGACACCCGAGGGCCACGCAACAACGTCGAGGCAAGGCTATTTCGAGATGTCTCCCTCCAACTTGCATGCTCATGCAACAACTCGCCAAAGCAACTCATGTCCTGCATGTCCGAGCTGGAGATCGGATTGAGACAATGATCCCCTGCACCGATAACCAACACCGACGGCTTATCCTTCCCAAGTGCTTCACACGCAACACAACTCACCCTCGCCAACAAGCCAAGGAAGATGGACTCATCTTGATCCAAGCTGCGCCGGTTATCAACCAGGATCACAGCAACCTTTCCATCAACCGCCAACTCAAGCAAAAGTCGCTGACTAGAGGGGCTCATGAGGTGATCCTTAACTGGCAGATGCAGCGGCTCACAACCGGACTGATGTGCCATTACGGCACTCACTCCACCAAGGATCCCCCTTATAGCTTATCATTACCCGCTCACTCTTATCACACGCTCGACGCTGCCGACGATTCCAACACGCAAGCGCTCCACTCCGAGGGACCCAAGTGAACGGACAACCAACAGTCAAGTCAACATGCTCTGACCAGACACGTCGGACCGCTGCCTCAAGGCTTGCGGCAACATCCTGATCTATCCTTATAGCCTCAACCAAAAACTTCACAAGATGACTACCCCCCGTACTCGAATACTCATGTGCAATCTGGATCGCCCTGACTGAGGTGGCTAACGCCTTATGATACCCACTCTCGATGTCTTGGAGAAGCGCCAAGGCCAGATCCTCACTCATACATGGGCAGCCGCTTGTATCATCCATCGTCAGAACACCCCTTGCCGGATGAACCAGTTCGCACCTCCCTTCACTCCAAAACCAATGGCATCCAAGCTTAATCAAAGGTCTTAGCGCCACAATACACTCAATGTCCTGGTTGGAAACCATGCAATGCCATATACTCATTCATGTACAACACTGCGCTTCCCTGAGCCAGGTCAACTAGCCGACGCGTCATCCTCTCTGTAGTCTCCCCGGGCTTCAAACCCCGAAGACAAGTAGAGGCTCCAGAATCTAACAACCCCGTTCAAACATCATGAGCATCAAGCCTATTCAACGTCGGTTTCATCCGCAACGCCTTAGCTTGCATGGTCTTTATCAGATTCTGGGCTTCTTTCAACAACTCAAGCTGGGCCTTCGAGGTTTGGGAACTCCCCGACGGGTTATCCTCCTCTACCCCTTTCGCCCCTGGCTTTTGAGGATCAGGCTTATCAGCACCCTTTCCACCCCAGCCCTTGGATTTACCACCTTTTGGGCCCTTGCCCGTATCTCCAGAATCCGCTGTGGGACACTGGTAGGCCATATGACCTAAGCCACTACATACAAAGCGTCTGTTTCTGGCATCAGGGGCCTTCTGAAGGTCTTGAAGGCTGCGGGCAAAGTTACATCGCGCTCCCCTCGAGCAACCCTTCAGCGTAAGCCAGTGATAACAATCGCCACCCGAGTTTGATTCCGTGGTTTTCCCTGAACCCTTATTCCCTTTGGAACCCTTTTTACCACCATCCTTCCCACCTTGAGGTGGGTCGGCACTGTCCAGACGGGTATCAACCCGAGCAAGCTTTGGCTTTTTGGCCCCCGAGGATTCCAGAGTCTGTAGCTCTGCTTGCATCATTTCCCCCAAGGAAACCGCCTTATCCAAAGTAGGAACAAGATCAACCGAATGTTGATGCCGAAATGTTTGAAGTCTGAACTGCACTTCTGGATACTGGGCTACCACAGCCGATGTCAAGCAATCCAGACCCGAGTTTAGCAGCGTAGCGTCCGGTAATGAAACTCCCAACTCAACAGCCCCTCTACGCCATCGAGCCCAACGCTTGACCCCTCTCAGCGCATCCGAAACCGTTTTGGCCCCTTCTGGCGTAGCGAGGTACCTCAAAAGCGCCGCACGCTCCCTAAGGCCCCCGGGCTGAAAGGTTGTAAGGATGATGCCCATTATCTCGATTGAGGTCATACGCCTCATTGACGCAACCTCATCCTTGATGGTGGAGGGTACCGCTTTCAACAATAATGAAACTGCGCGCTGCTCTACTCTAGCGTATTTGCCTCTCTCAAACCTCTGGGGCCGTTCAGGCTTTAGCGTGAGACGCTCAATCGGTCCACTATCCAACCACTTCGTATAATATTCCTGGGCAGCAGAAAGGGCCTCAGCCCACCAATCAGAAGCGTGCGCAGACAAATCCCGTAAAGAAGGACCTATCAAAGAAACCCAATCCCCAGCAATCAGAGGAGTCAACTCACGCTCAGTTTCCTTGACCTCAAGCTTAGGCAGCTCGCCTACATTTTTCACATCCTCAACCCGATCTCTATCCACCGACCCCGTTCCTCGGATCGCCCCTTCAAGGGCAGCTGTCAACTTTTGGATGTCATTCTCCGGAGCAGGAGGTGGGGGTGAAGGAATGTAATCGCTATGTTGAGGTTGTTCACTCCTACTTCTGTTCCACCGGGTGAAATCGGATACACAATCCTGGGTCGTCTAGTGGGGGACTGTTCGGATGCACATGGCGCTGAAACAGCAATCACGTCAGCACCTTCAGTAGATGTTCGGGCTGTTTCGGGAGAGCGCATGTGACTCCTAGCATCCAAACCCCGGGAGTGTGGCAAACCCTCACCATGTATAGGATTATGTGGCTCTTCGCACGTCCGTGCCGCAGCACCTGAATGATATGGACTGAAAGGAGTCCTGGCTTTAGGGTCAAAAGGGGATGCACCGCGAGTTTCAGCAGTACGATTCTTACTCTTAGTGGTTTGAGGTTCTTCCGAATCACAAATCGCATCCACTCTCCCTCTCTCCCTCAACCCTCGGCGCAACTCCTCTCTATCACTCAACTCCCGTTCCCTCACCCGTCTCTCACTAAACTCTCGCTCACGCTCACCTCTCTCTGTCGATCCCCGGCTAAGTCCTCTACCGATGCCAGCATGCCGGGTTTCAAGATGCCCGCTTTCGTTAATCATGGGTTCTCGTACTTCCTCTCCCGCACACGGTTCAAGAACCAACTCTCCATCAGGAGAAAAGCGCCAAGAATGCCGAGTCCCATCCACCACCACCGTCCCATAACCCTTGGGGCCTCTAGACGAGCCCTGATCCAATGGAACCCCCGTAACCTGGGAAGAATTGGCAGCATCATTAACCCCAATATTCCCTAACGGGACGACCGCAGCAGCAGGTCTTGGATCAGCGATGGCAAGGCTTCTCATGGCAGCTGTGACGTTGGATCCACCAGTTGTTTGATCCCCGGGTCTACGCCTAGGTCCAACATCAACTCCTCTCTCCATCCGCCTATGGCTACCCACACTCCGCTCGGATGCTGAGTTCTCGCTCGAGCGCAGCCTTTCCAAGCGTGAAAGCACGGTCGCTTGCACCATCCTAACTTGATCAAGTGCAGGTGCCAAGTTATCTTGAATAACCGATTGTAGCATCACGCTCATCTCACTCAATACCTCATGCCGCACTCTCGCCAAACCTTCCTCAAGTTGCGTCTGCCCTGTATTCCCACTGTCCGGCGAACCCGAGGCTACCCCTGGTGATAAACCAACCGCCGCAAGTGAACGGCTCGAATCATGATCCACACCACTCGCCCCAGGTTGCATCACTGGCCGTAATGATGACTGCGATTTCTCAGGGCTCGCAACTTCCGATTTGGAACTATCCTCTGCAGGTAAGGCCGAGTAATCTGGTACCAGTTCTGGCTCATCAATGTCCATGACCGGTAATCTTGACCCCTGTGATGCCGGAGAGGGAGAACCTGCTTCCACCCGATAAACTCCCAACCTCGGTACTTCCTGTTGTTCACTACCCACAGCCTCTCTCTCATATGGAGGATGAAGTTCCTGATCTGACACACAACTCATGTGTGATCTTTCTGAAGTACCACCGTGGTCATCACCACCATACATTGCCGCCTGCACTGAGAAGGCCCAGTTTGCTGGAGACCTCTCCCCTGCAGATTCGGACGGGGCTGATCTATCCATGGCGTTAGCGATTTGGGCTCATAACCCCCGGAAGGGGTGAGTGGCCACAGCAGCACTGTTTCCGCGAGCGAACGACCGACAGAAAAGCATCTTAACAGCTTGCTGTACACTTTCCTATACACTTCTGTCTTCTGTCGAAAAAGTCTGTTTAAACTAGTCTCTACTTTATCTTCTTCTTGCATCCTGAGCCTGAGCATCGGCCAACCTAGATGATACAGTGCTTCGTCGCTGTAGTCACGTCGTCAATCACATAGGCGCGTACCTTGCAGCATCTCCGACCCTAAACCCCTAAACCCCTAAACCCTGAACCCTGAACCCCAAACCCTGAACCCGATTTAGATGCGTTGCAAGGAAAGGATCTTGAAACGAAGCACAGTTTAAGCAACCTGCATGCTGCTCCAACAGCCGGGACCTAGAGTTTCCCTAAACCTGAAACCCTAAAGGCCCTATGAAACCCTATAAACCCTATAAGCCCTATGAAACCCCATAAATCTTATCAGCCCTATGAAACCCTCTAAGGCTTATAGGGTTTATAGGGCTTATAGGGTTTATAGGGCCTCTTTGGGGTTTACAGGGTTTCAGAGGGCTTATAAACAAGCCCTGAATCCTATAAGCCCTATAAGCCCCCAAAGCCCGAATCCTTCCCGTACTATGCCACTGGAAATCGAAGATCCTCCGAGCTCCAGCAGAAGCCGGGATAAGTCGGAGAAGATGAGCTTGGGGTTTAAGGGTTTAGGGTTTAGGGCTTAGGGTTCGGAGAAGATGGAGAGGATGAGTTTAGGGTTTGGGGTTAGGGTTCGCAGAAGATGAGACCCCCATAATCTTGAAGATCTACCTAGATCATATGTTTGCGCCCTCCTCCATCAAAAACAGACGCAATCAGCTTGGCAGGAATCCAGGCCTCTTGCCACCGATGCCCACCTTGGTGACAGTGGCCAAACGGGCTTGAGGATTTGAAGCTGCGCAGCTGTGTGGCCTGCTTTAATACAGGGCCCTGAATACTTCGAAGAGGGCTTTGGTGGGTATATCATAATAGAGGTAAGTGGGAAGAAAACAGGGATATGTCCAGTAATCCTACTTGATTGCAAATGCAAGGTTAGGTGCTCTGGCTTCAAAGTCCAGGGGTTCAAGTTCAGGAGTCAAGAGGCTCGGGGCACCGTGTGCAGTTTACCTATTCGTGTACTTAGTGCATGCGTCGCGGACCGCGGATGCCGGCATGTTTACCCGTCTGATCTGATAATATCATGTAGTAGTTTGCGGGCTACTATGTAGCATTACATGACATCTTTATATAATGGATGCACTGTTGCATGCAGCCGCATTCCAGGTTCAGATTTTATGCATTCTCATGTCGGCTTCTCACTGAGCTGCGTCAAATCGCACCGATGCCAGAAGTGCACATATATATATATATATGTATAAATACATATATATATATATATGTTCATACATATATAACATAAGCTTGCCGTGTAGGAGAACGGCAGGTGTCGTTCGATTTTCTTCTCCGGATGTAGATTTGTAATTTCATTGAACACCCTCCCCCTTTTTCAGGTCCCCTAGTCTTCGGATACCTGTCATAACTCGTATTGGGGGATGGGGATCTTCCTCATCCGGGGGTCTACATTATGAGAAGGGCCCTAAAAATTACCTATACTATTTTTTGGGTGGTTTCCCTATTATATCTAAACTATAGTATAATGTACCCCAAACCCTAGTCAAATTGTTAAGGCCCCTAAAGCAGAACCCTATCATAGATCCTTTATAGAACCTTGTAAGGATCCTTTTAAAGGAACCCTATTCTAATTCTTAAGGCCCCGACACCCTAAACCCTAAACTCTAAACCCCAAACCCTAAACCCTGAACCCCGAAACCCTAAACCCTGAACCCTAAGCCCTAAACCCGAAACCTACATTGGTAAGGCCCCTACTGGCCAGCAGCTGCCCGAGCTCAAACCCCCCAAAGCTCAGCCCCTCTGGGCCGAAGGCTCCTAAACCCCCAACCCTTCAAGGGTTTAGGGTTTAGGGTTTAGGGTTTAGGGTTTAGGGTATAGGGTTTAGGGTTTAGGGTTTCGGGTATTTAGGGTTTCGGGTTTCGGGTTTAGGGTTTAGGGTTGAGGGTATAGGGTTTAGGGTTTAGGGTATAGAGTTTAGGGTTTAGGGCCTTTAGGGGGCCTTAAACCCCAAAACTCCAAGACTCCTCAGAAAACCCGAAACCCTAAACACCTAAAGTCCAAAACCCGCCAAGCAAGGCTAAGACCCAGAACCCTTGGAGTCCAAGCTGCCCCACCGAATCACTGTAGACCCAAAACCACCCCCCCAATCCCTACTTAAAGGATCATGGGACTTAGTAAGTAGGGTTATAATTAGGGTAACTATACTTATAAACCCCAATTAAGGGACTTATAACNNCCCCCCCCCCCCCCCCCACACACAAAGAAGCCGGAACACCGACAAAAAAGGCCAAGCTCAATCCCTGTAAAATCAAAAACCCACCCCCCAAAGGACTCAGAAACCCGGAAACAAGCCGACTGCTTGCAAAATCCAAAACCACCCCAAAGAACTCTGAAACCAGGAACAAATCCAAGCTAAATGCCCCAAACAACTTTGAAACCCGGAAAAAACCGCGCCAAGCTGCGTTCGCAAGCGCTGATCAAGGAGCCAAAGATCGGTGCGTCCGGGCGCACCGAGCCTGGCCGAAAGGGCTTTGAGGATGTAGAGATGTAGGGTTTAGGGATGTAGGGATTTAGGGGTTTTCCTGGTTTTGGGGGTTTTGGATTCAAGCTTTAGGGTCAAGTTCTTCGTGGCTAGGGTTTGAGAGTTTCGGGTTGGGAGGAGGGGGACTTGTCTGTACCTTCCGCAGGTCAACTTCGCAAGTCATGCCTCAAGCATTATATTTCTCAATATGTAGTAGACTGATATTCGTTGTGTTTTCCTAGCAACCAACAAGGTTATCAATACGACAACCTACCCCACAACATCCCACAACCATAGTCTCATGATGCGGGCCCGAAAAGCACCCTGCCCTGGAACCTTGAAGCCAAAACCCGCTACAAGGGGACAAACCCAACAACTTGGAAGAGGGGCGGCCTGGACTAAGTAACCGCAAGCATTGGGGATATCAGTCAGTATGAGAAACAGTAACCGCGACAGGTCAAAACAAGGATGAGACGTCACCGCCATAACCATAAACAGGGCGTGGCAACTGCAAGACAGCCAAAGCTGCCCGCAATTGTCGCACGACTTGCAGCGGCAGCAAACCTAGAACTACTTGTAACACTGGTCCCCAACCTGGTCATGCTATAGACTACGTATTCAATTCAGAATACAAGCCGTGACAAACATAGTGATAATAACAATACCTCCACTAGCAAGCCCAGTGGTCGTATTGAGAAGAACACAGCAAGCCCGTATGTAATATTGCTCACCATATAGCGCTGCGAGGCTTTAGAGTACCATTGGTGCCAGGCGGCCATCTGCCAGTTTGTTCACCAGTGAGAGAACCAAGTCCCACCTGCAGCATCTTGATCAAATATAGAGTTATAATACAGTAATCAAAACACATAATTTAGTTTGCAGTTACAAAATATGTTATGTAATTCACGTGTGGGTGCTGAATACCTGTTATTTCCCGGCATAGTCCCGATGTTTTCCACCATGATATACTCCGAAATCTTCTTTCAAGTACAAGTATTATTTATTGTTCATAGGGTAGCAGAGGAACCTCTGGGATAAACAAGTTGCTTGGAAAAGCTGTCAGTTTCGGGCTGAGGGAGGGGGTTTAGGGCTCAGAGATTCTGCTTTACGGGCGTTTCGGGCTTGGGTTCGTGGGTGTATGTATATCCATATATATATAT